AAATAAATAAATAAATAAATAAATAAAACTTAGTCATAATTATATTTCCATAATTTTTTTAACTACTTATTTCTTGATTTCCATCACTGAGGAAGCTTTATTACTTCTGGTTTTAAGAAAGATATGCTGGGAACTAAGATAACAAAATGCACTAATACAGAATTTCAACTGTAGAATGTCACAACTGCACAAAGTAATAGAAATTTCAGAGCTAAGGTAGAAAAGACAGTTTCAAAATTAAAGACAAAAATAAATAAAACAGAAAAAATCTGTAGAGTCCAGTGTGTCTACAATCTAGTTGAAAGTATAACATGGTGTCTTTAACATACATTCCAAGTTTTCTTTCTTGGATACCATCAGTGTTATATATACTCAACACTACCATAAACAGAATTAATTATGTTTTATAAACTCTAAAAATGTTACCATGTTTATATAAATGATCTTCTGAAACTTGCTTGGCTCAATGTAGCCCACAACGTACATGGGGAATAATGAGGCAACCTGAAACAAACACACAACAACAGCACAGAACTGAAAACATCTAGAAAACAAATATTGTTCATGAGAACAGTAAATATAAGAGGGGAATCATATTTCTGATCATGTAGGCAAATTAATATGACCCAGTCTTCTGAGAAATAGAATATTAGGGAAATACACACAGAGGTTCAGACACAGTCTTCTAAAAAAAAAATGTATACACTCATCATCACACACATAGAGTTCACCATACTAATAAATGCTTGGGAGCTTATGGGTGCCACTTTGAGCACCTCTTGTAATTGCATAAAGCAAAGAGAATTTGCATTAATTTCATAATGTCTCAATAAATTGAATATTAATATATTTATGCAAGTTTTTCTTTTCCTGGTCTATGTATTTTTGGTATACTACACACACACACACACACACACACACACACACACACACATATATATATATATATACAAACAAATATATATGCATATATAAACAAATATTTATGGGAAAACTACAGGTTATTAACAAGGCAAATGAGAAATTAGCAAGATAAAACTAGGGAAAACATGGGAATCTATCCTGATGACCATGCATTTTCGATATCTTTTCTCCTGGATATGTATCTGTAGGTTCCAATACAGGAAAGCTGAGAGGCACTGAGAGACCCACAGGCTCAGCAGGCATTTCAATGGACTGAGTGGCCAGGGCCTGCCAAAAAGGGGGTGCTTCGTAAGTACCTAGGCTCAGGTTTCTGGCATCAAAGGGCTACACTGTGCAGGAAACCAGAAAACAGGTTACTCATCAGAAGGCTGAATGCCATCTTTGAGTCATCTTAATCTCATTGTACAAATATAATCCAAGACCCTTAGTGTCTTTATTTGCCTGCTGGAAGCAAATTTAATCTTCTGTGGAGAAGGTATCAAGTTAGTCTCAAATTAACTCTCTGCTACTTCAAAAATAACTAAGCAAACTACTGAAGTGTTTTGAGAGGAGGAGGTAAGACATTACAAAACCCAGGTAAGA